TCCCACTCCTAACTCACCCAAACGTCGCAGCATGATACCGTGGTCCACGGTATCAAAAGCCGCTGAGAGGTCCAAAAGAACAAGGACAGAGGAATGGCCCCTGTCCCGGGCCCTCCAGAGATCATTTACCAACGTGACCAATGCCGTTTCCGTGCTGTATCCCGGCCTGAAGCCCGACTGGAGCGGGTCCAGATAGACTTTTAACTGTCTTTTTATTGAAACAGTACAAATTCAACAGCTTCCAGGAATTAATACGTTTATCACCCTCCCCCTAGTGGGCCCTCTAGGTATATGAGCTTCAATTTCAGAATTTGAAACAGTCAAGATTGTTGCTGAGAATTCTGGGAGTTGAAAACAGCTGAAAAGTGGCCATATTGGGGAAGACTGAACAATATATTTGGAATGGAATAACTATGTTTACTATCTTCTACACATCTTATTTTTTTCATAGAATGTAAGGGTTGGAAGGATCTTTGGGAAACATTTAGTGAACTTCTCACAATCGCGAGGCGTTCACTACTGTGGCATCCATGACAAGTGTCAATATTTTAACACATTCAGCAGAGGGGAAGTTACTGCTTCCCTAAGGCAAGCTGCTCCACTTTTGCACAGCTCATGGGAATTATTTCCTGACACCCAAACAAAACTTATTTCCTTGTAATTTTAACCCATTGTTTCTTCTCCAGTTCTGAACAGTTCTACTCCACTTTCAAGTAACTGAAGAAAAGCTATGATGCCTCCTCACAATCTTCAAACTAAACCTGCTCCATATGTCCAACTATTCCTCATAATGTTTTTCTTCCTGGCCACTCATCTTGTTTCCTCTCCCAGAGATCCCTCCAGTGTATCCAAGTTTTTCCAAAAACAAATTTAATAAATAAAATAAATAAGTAAAAATAGGGTTTACAGAGGTAAATGGAAGGAGCAATTTGATCAGTGTTGAATAGGCAGATTCAATTTTCTTTTTTGATCCAGACACTACACTTTTGAAGATACAGCCTTTGCATATTGTTTTTGCTGCATCACCACATTGTTTTGTTTTGTTTTGTTTTGTTAGGAAAAGGCTCCGTTTTCATTCCAATTTTACTTTATATCCTGAGAGAGATTGTTGAAGCTTCCTTAGCCTGTGACATTGACAACACTGATTGCATAACAGAACTTCTAAATAATGTTCATAAAATGTTCCAGGAATTTCTAGAATCTATGGCACTTAAGCTCAGAAGACAAAAAGAAGAAGGGATTCAGGTACCAGTTGCATTTAAATCTGGCCATGATTTACTCCCCCCCCCCAGTTTGAATTTTTCCATTTCAGCTATTGTGCTTAGTTTTAGTAACCATCCAGTTTTGATCCTTGTTTATAAAAGAAAGAATTCTGCAGCCATAATTGTGAGAAATGGTCCTCCAGCATAGTTCCAGACTTTTAAGTTGTGCTTTGAATATTTCCAGTATATTTCAAACTTTCTCTTCCTTTTAAAATATCAAGATGCAATTACTTTCTAACTAACTCATATTAGCAAAGGTGTTTAGTTTTCTAATGAAAAAATTGACATTGGGTGACATTTTGTGACAGAACTAAAAATAGCTCAGAACTTGGTAGTGTTGTTTTAAGTGGGAGCTTTGACAACTCCACACGAAGATCTTTATTCAGTCCCACATTTCTGAGATAACGCTTATCCTTTCTTTATTTTTATTTTTTTTTCTTTGAAAATCACTTTGTAAAAAGGCCAGTGATAGGCAGAGTAGGAATGTAAATGCAAAAAAACAAAAAAAACCTTTAGGTTTCAGAGATGATAGGATAACGTTTCATAGATAGATGGTAATATTGGTTAGAGAACTAAAATTATTGCTTCCTAAAGGGACAGCACAGCACAAGATGCCCTAATTATAGGACTTGCAATTGCTTTATTAGATATTGTGCTACATTGTTTCTTAGTTTGTTTTCAAGAACTTGCCTTCTGGGTCAATATTAATTAAAGGTGGACCAGCTTAAAAACTAGACTTTGTATTATTTTATCTAAAATGTGTCATCTTTTATTGTTTCTGCTACCTGTCTTTCATATTTCCAATTCATTGTAAGGCTATCAAGTTCTTTTCTCAGCCTCAGGGGTTTTGTTTTGTTTCAGATTATAAAGATTCATGACTATTTCTTCTTGAGCCTTTTAATACCTCTTTATATTGGAAAATAATTCTATAAAATGATTGCCCCTGGACTCTGATATTGATTTCAGCCTCCTTTAAATAGCCCTGGGAGAATTGGAATGTTTGGTTTCTTCTGAAGTTTGTGCTGTAGTGACAAAAGAGAAAGAAGATACAGGTAGTCCTCAATTAATGACCAATTGTTTATCGGCTGTACAGAGTTATAACGGTCTTGGAAAGAGTGCTTTATGACCCATAAAATATCTCCAGCCATCTTAAATATTGCACTCTCCCTAGCCCATTTCAGCAATTACACAATTGCATTTCAGGCACTTGGCAACCGGCTCATATTTACAATTGATTGCAGTATTCTGCAGTCATGTTATTGTGATTTGCAAGGTTTTGCCAATTTCCAGGAAAATAGCCTATTTGGGAGAATAGATGTGGACTTATGATCACCATTAAGACAGTAATAAAATTGAGTACAGTCATGTGGATGTCTTGACTTACAACGGTCAAGGCATGTATCGAAATTCCAGTCCCTTCAGAATAGAAGGGACCTATTTCTGTATGAAAATAGAAGTATTTTAGTGCTCTTTAATGCTGAAAGAATCTGAAAAGAGTGCAGCTTTTAAACTAAACGTTTTTCTGGAAGCTTTGTATGCTTTAATTTGTGTAGTTATGCATTTTTGTCTCAGCTTCTTTAAAATACATATATTGTAGGTATTTGTGTAGGCTTGTTGGCTATAAAACTGATTTTTGGTTGTTGTTTTTTCCCTAGTTAATTTATTTTGCTCAAGATCCTCTTGAAGAATTTGTACACGTAGCCCAGTCCTGTATGTTGATTTTTCCAATGGTTTATCAAGGAGTTTTTTCTTCTCTTTTGGCTGCAGTAGTGGTTGAGATAAACTGCAACTTGAAAAAAAAGGTAATATGTTTCGCTTTACTGTCATGGCAGATATGCTGTGCATGTAAGAATGGTTTTAAGCCATTTCTTGAGTTTCTTGACCTTTGTGGCTGGAAGATGTAATGGACTTCAGCTCTCAGAATGCTGGCTGAGGAATTCTGGGAATTGATATCCACATAATTTCAGGCTTCCAGTGAGAAACATTGATCTAAGCAAATATTCAAGGATCTATCAGATGTGATAGAGATCAGACCTCTTGAGATTCACCAGTACAAATATGTCATGTGCCATCTTTGAGCCATAATTAAAAGTAACCAGGGAAAGATAGCATCACAGTGACATAATTTGCATACTGTGCTATAATGTACAGTGGTACCTTAGTATTCAGCTACTTCATAACTTGTCAAATTTGGCATTCGGTGCATTTTTATGCGAAAATGTTGTCATCCTACCCGTCATTTGCTTGGTACTCGACACTGCGATAAGAAGAGGGGGATGGCCACGGAGAAAGGACAGGAAGTTGGCCATGCCTGGAAGGTCACTGCAAAAGGAAGTGGGGAATGGCTGCAGACGACGGACAAAAGTCCATCATGCTGGGAAGGTCACTGACATAGGAAAAGGTAAAGACACAAAGTCCTTCCTAGTCAAAACCAAGGTTCATGTTTTGTTTGGTACTTGTCGGGCTTCCCGGAACCAATTAATGATAAGTTCTGAAGTACCACTGTACTTTGTTTGGGTCTTAACTTTTCATATGAATTCACACATAGGGGTTTATAAGGTACGTATTATGGCAGTGGTGGCGAACCTATGGCACGGGTGTCAGAGGCGGCACTCAGAGCCCTCTCTGTGGGCACGCGCGTCGTCGCCCCAGTCCTAGGCCTTCAGCTGGGTTTTAGGCCTCCGCCGCCGTGTACAAAAATAAAAGGTTAAATCAATCAGTCAATTTCAACTTCTCGTGGGGAAAAAAAAGATCTTGCAAAGTTAGAATTGATTGATTGAACTTTTTAGTCCCACCCAGTCTGCTGTTACCACTGCAGCCATGCCCACCCAATGGGCCACACCCACCCGGCACCCAACGATGGGGTTTGGGTTGCAGTTTGGGCACTCGGCTTACTATAATGTGTGAATTTAGCAAGAATTTAATTATATTATCTGGCTGGATATGATATCCAGACAAGCAACAACTCACTTGCTATGGTGGCTGGAGAATTCTGGAAGTTGAAGTCCACACATCTTAAAATCATTATGGTGAGAAATAGTATTCCTCACTCACACAAAATAGCAGGCAATGTCAAAGATCTTTCAGGATCTTTCCAGCATGGAATATGTAAGGAGAGAATGCCATGAGTGGCTGGAAATAGAAAGCATTTTCACCTTGTCTCTTTAGCTCAATGTTGGTATACCTTTTGGGTTTGTCATGTTAAAAATTCAGAAAAGGCCTATGTTGATCACCGACATTTCACACACCCCTTGGACAAAAAGGGCCTCTTGACTTCCTATCTGGAATCTCATCCCCTAGACCAGGGGTCCCTACCCCCCCGGTCCATGGACCAGTACTGGGCCGCAGCATGCCAGCAATCGGGCTGCACAAACAAGCAAAGCTGTAACTGCTGGATGCAGGCAGCACACAAAACCACACCCCCTCTGGTCCGTGGAAAAAACCTCTCTTCATGGAACTGGTCCCTGGTGCCCAAAAGATTGAGTCCTCTGCCCTAGATTCTCCCCTCCCACCCTCTCCTCTCTCAACCCTCCAAAACCTACACTATAGGGGGCTTCTGGAGCCTCAGAAAATCACGGCAGAATGCTCATGCGATTTTCAGATGCCTTGGAGCAGAAGTCCCTAACTGGTATTGACCCATGGCTAATTAGGAAACAGGCCGCGCAAGCAGTGGGCAAGTGAGCGAAGCTTCATCTGGGCCTATGTAGGATCTAGGTTGTGTGCGAAATCATCCCTTCCTGGTCTGTGGAAGACAATTTTTCTTCTGAAACCAGTCCCCGGAAGCAGAAAGGTTGGGGAGTCACTTAGAGGCTGTGTGAGATTGTGGTCCTCTCATGTGGCTTCTAGAGGGTCTGGAGGTCTCTTAATCCTTGGGAAGTTGCATACAAAGGTGCTGTTCTCTCAGGCCTCAGGAAATTGTGTGAGAATGCTTGTGCGATTTTGGGATGCCTCGGAGGCTGTGCAAGGCTTTTTAGCATGCCTTCCAGACAGTTTGGAGGCCTGGTGTGCCACCAAAAATGGCATGGTGTTCCATCAGTGACACATGTGTTGTAAGTTGGTTATCACTGCTCTAGCTAATGCTGCATTTGCAAAGGGAGAGCAGTTTTAAAACACTTTTCTAAAACACCATCTGCCTTCATATCTCTTTCTACACCTGTAGAAATAAGGGCTCTCAAATTCTTAGATGGTCCTTGTTATCGAATGTACATCTGCTGTGAAAATAAATCTTCAGTGAATATTTTGAGAATGCTTCTGATGATGTGAAGGGGCTGAGCAGAAAATGGCTGGCTCTAAGCCCCCCCCCCCCAAAAAAATAAAATCTCAGGACAACAGGTTCTGAGCTGCCAGTCAAGCTTTTAGCCTTCAAATGGGGGTGATGTTATGTGCCTTCCAGAAAGCACAACTGCTGTTTTGCTGCTGTTATTTCTTTGCCTAAGGCAGGGGTAGGCAACCTTGGCTCTTTTATAATTTGTGGACTTCAACTCCCAGAATTCCTGAGCCAGCATGGCTGGCTCAGGAATTCTGGGAGTTGAAGTCCACAAGTCATAAAAGAGCCAAGGTTGCCTATCCCTGGCCTATGGAGTTATCTGCCTGTCTTCCTCCTGCTCCTCCTCCTCCTCTTTCAAGATCTTAGCTATTTCAATAGCCATAAAAGACTGAGGAAAGTAATATCAAGTGCCAATTGTTCTTCTCCTATTTATTGATTTCTCATTTGCTAAAAGCACTTCTTCATATTTCTTTTGTTCTAGGTATCAGATAGAGAACAGCTAATAACACCTAAGACATTCTTGGATCTCCCACCACTTTCCAGCGTTTTAATGACGATTATGAATAAATCAGCAGATGTGATTAGGTAAGCTCTCTTTTGGGGGGGATGCTTAGTCCAATTTGTCTGTTTTCCCACAGTATTGTTTCTGTGCTGAGGACAGATTTTGTCGTCTTCATCTGGTACCCTGTTGATGACCTCTTGTGTTACCTCCTTAGGTGATTACTCAATTCTAGCATTAGGAAAAAAAGATTTGACAAAGCAAGGGAAAAATTGGAGCAGTTAATACTCAAGGGGTGTGCTATTGACCAGCTTGTATGCAGTTCTGGTTTTGAGTTGGATTTTTATTTTTTATTTTTTGAACTACTGAATATATTCTACAGATACTTCTGGAATCTCATAATTGCAGTCTACTTGCAGGTAGCACTTTCTTAAAATAAGAGCTGCAATTTAGGAGTATTGGTAGTAGTTTATATTAAAGATTCATTAGCTACTAAAACAAGAGATTTTAAACATTCAAGCATTTTTTATTACATTGAGCATGAAAATTGGAAGCAAAGGGACCCTTGAAATAATACAGAGCAATGTTTCAGGATAATTGATTCTATAGTTGTACAAAGACCTACATCTGCTATACTCTGGAATATAAGCTGTTGATAACATTATCAAGCTTTTAGATCAGGGGTGTCAAACTGCCGGCCCGCAGGCCGGTTTCATCATACCGGAGCCGCGCCCACTTCATTGTCGGCAATGGCAAAAAAGCTCCGATACGTTGCGCGACGTCATGTGACATCGCGAGTTTGACATGCCTGTTTTAGATTATCTGTGATACTGTTCCAGCCAATTAGTATCTGTGATACTGTTCCAGCTCATGCTTCAAAGCTGAGCGCTCTGGGTAGGGCAGTTTAAGTACAACAGCCAGTGCCTGTCTGTCCCTCTCTGTTTTTGTCATTTTTCTCTCTCTGGCTCGCTCATTTTCTCTTTTTCTCTCTAATATAAATAGTTTTTTTTAAATTGAAAGGATGTTGTAAACTTACTTTTGATGCTTCTAAAGCATCGGTGCAGCTAAATAAACCTGGAATGTTATTCCCTCCATCTCTTTGGAGACTTGCTCATTTTGTGATTGTCAATTCTAGAACCCCATATTTTTCAAAAGCAGAAATTAAATTCTAGAAATAAAATGCCTTCTATTTTGTCCCATCCCCTCTTTCATATATGTTAGAAGAAGAAGAAGCAGTAGAGATCATAAAAAGGAGAATATTATGGCTTGAAGGCTAAAGGTGGAAGCAATGTCTCTTGAGGAAGAACTGTGCTTCAGAAGGTTGCTGAATGCCGCAATAGGAGAGCAAATAATAATAATAATAGAAGTAAATGTCTAGAACCTTTAATACTCTTATGAAGACTTTATAAAAGGTTCTAAAATCTAAAAATTCTGCAAGGTCCTGAATTCATATTTTGACAGTTAATCTTTTTGTCTTTATTTTCTGTATGGTTCATGTTTCTGTATATTTCATGCATATTTTACTCAGGTCTTTCCTAAATGAATTATTGGAATACATTGAGTCTGAAGAATCTGAAGGAATTATTAGCCTTACCACTAGTGTGTATATTGTTGCTTTAATTAATGGTGAGTAATAGCCCATCTCTGTAATCCAGTGACGTTGTATGAACTTAATTCCAGTTTCTAGATTTCTAAAGTATTTTTGGTGGTTCAGGGTGAAGGAATTCGGAAGTGATTTCTTCTTGCTTCGCTTCAGGGAGAACCATGAAATTTCACTAGGCCAGTGATGGCAAACCTTTTACAGACTAAGTGCCCAAACCACAACCCAAAACCCACTTATTTATCGCAAAGTGCTAGGGCCGCATCAGCATTGTGGTGCCCCCAGGGGGGGCATGGGGGCGTGGCCCACTGGGTGGGCGTGGCTGCGGTTGTCACAGCAGACTGGGTGGGTGTGCTGGGATGGGCATGGCCACCTCGATGTTGCTCATGGGGGGATGCCTGTGGGGGCCGGGCAGGGTTGAGGGAGATTCAGGGGGGTCTCTGGCAGGTGGGGTGGTGGGTAGGAGGCCCAACATAGATGGGGGAAGGCACACAATCCTAGCTGGGACTGGGGGGCCATGGCGCCGATGGGGATCTGGCTTTTCCTGCTCAGGGTGGCCTTTGGTTTGCTGGGCGTGGGGATGCTCTACCACCTCTACTCAAGCTTGCTAGCTGGCTGCTTTGCCTCCTTTGTGCTGGGTGGGGCTGCCGCTCCAGGCGGCGGTGGCGGCCTAATGGCAGCAGTGGTGCGTGTGCCCACAGAGAAGGCTTTGAGTGCCGCCTCTGGCACGCGTGCCACAGGTTCGCCACCACTGCGCTAGGCTCTGAATAGGATTGGTAGCATTCATTTTAAATGGTATCCCTTTGGGTGAAGTAACGAGATTTGCTACATATACCAAATTATTTGACAAAATGAACACCTAAATGGACTGGGAAATGCTGCAGAAAGATTAGGCACATAGTCTTTAAGATAGGGATGCAAAATATTTGTATAAGCATTGATGGACAATGAAATGAACCTTCACTCTTCCGAAACACATATAGATAATCCTCGATTTATGACTGTAATTGAAAATGCAATTTCAGAGACTTCCGGTGGCGAGGCTTCGCCAATGGAGGCTTTTTTCTCAGCCTCCTGCCCGGGACTGCGTCAAAGCTGTCAAAACAGCGCGGATCAGCTGTTTTGCGGCTCGAAACTTTCTCCCCGGGCGAAGGGGAGAAAGTGAGTTTGGTTTGGATAGGGGTTGAGTTCCCTAGTCCCCCCAGGATCATGAAGGTGTGAACTCCCCCGGAGTCTGGACCTCTTCTCCGCAGCTCGGGGTGTCTTCGCTCTTCGGAGCGAAGCTAGACGTCACCGCCACTGCTGCTACTTTGTATCTGCTTGTGAGTAACTTTTGAACAGACGGAACCTGACGGGATTTTTACTTCAGTTAAATTGTGACTTTAACTCAAAGATTTTATTGGGATTTTTACTTGTTATAAGTGAAAGTGAGAAGAAAATGGCCGCGGAAGCGCTGCTTCTCTCTAACAAAAGGAAAACTTTCACTTTCTTTCCAGTTGTGGAATGATGCATTTTAAAGGACTTTAAAGAATTTTTCTTAAGTCAAGCTTTTTTAAGTTTATACTTGCTGTTGTGATGTGAGTTTTACAAATAATTTGGCAGAATGGCTTCAAAACGTACTGGAGTTTCTGCATTGCCTAAAACAGCTATTTCTTCTCCTGTTGTGCAAATTCAACAACAAAAACCTAGATCTCCCCCACCATCACCTCCTCCTTCCATTACACTTAAAGATCTACAAGAGGCTTTAGCTAAGTCCTCATTGCAGACTGTGAAACAAACAGAAGAAC